AAACCAACTCGCTTACACCTTCACGATGATTCGCGAAAAGAGACGGCCTTCCACCCGGTAGCCATTGCGCTCGCTGATGCACATCCTGCCGATCTTGCGAATCTTCAGGATCCCGGAACGACTGTGCTGTTGGTGTCAAATCGAGACGAGAAGCTGGAAAAAAGTGGTGTCGGCATCTACGTTCACGAACGAGCTTCTGCTTCACTTCGTCTACATTCCCGCATCGATGCTCAAGACCTTGCCAGCCGGAGCCAAGGCGCAGGCGACTCGGACACGCCAAATAGGCTCCTCACAGCTGCAACTCAATGGTCTCCCACTCTCGAGCCTAATGTCTCACAAGGCGCTGATCCAGCCGCGGGGGCTCTTCGACTTCCAAGCTTCTTCTTCCTGCCTGGTCAGCCTGCGAGGGCATCGAGACTGCAGTCAAACGATCTGTCAAGCAAGCCTAGTTTCTTCAAATTCGCCCAGTCGTTCTTCATGGATGGGCCCTTGAAACGCGGTTACAGTGCGGATATTCATTTCTTTGCGGCACGCACTCGGACGGTGGATCAGGTCACTTCTCAGCCTTCTGCCTGGCAGCAAGGAAGCGCAGCGCCCCTCTTGGCCGGGTGGGATGGAGGGGGCGAGTCTATGGCGCGGAACTCTACAAACCCTCACATATATGTAGCCAGTGCTGAAAGCGGGACTTCTGGAGTCACGGAGTGGGAGGAGCACTGGGTGAGTAGCGTATCGAGTTGCGGTTGTCGGCGGAGTGAAAATGGCACGAGGACGACGTAGAAGTATCTAAGCCAATACCTTATGGACCGGCGGCTGTTCGACTGAGTCGAGAGCTTAGCTCGGGCCGTCTGTGGACAGCTATAAGCCGTTAAACTATCTGAGGCCATGTTGAGGAGCTCGGCGAACTCAGCTCCGACAGACTCTCAAGCTGACACTTTAGAGGCCACACAGGTGCGGGGAATCGAAGCTGGGATCCGCGAATCGGCAGACCCTTATGGTCCTGCTGCAGACAAGGAGAAGAAGGTGAACAGATACGTTCCAAGCTACGTCACCCTGTTCGAGCATCGTCCCACCCTTCCACCTACTGCGCTCTCGGCGGATAGACTAGGCAGACTCTACCTGGGCGAGAGCTTGGACCCGCCCATCGTGCTTCGCCGATGGACCTCTTGGCTGCGCTCCTCTCGGCAGGATGCGTTAGCCCCCGCACCACCTCGACCACGGGGACAAGTCAGCCAGGTCACTTTCATACACCGCTGGAGCTCATTGACAGCTCATCCGTGGGACACAGGGCGCCTCAGCGATGCGCGTAAGAAGGGCATCTTCCTTCCAAAAAAATACTTCTCTCTTCCGCTATTCGCTTCTGACG